TTCTTTTAACTCTGCAGCTCAAGAAGTTATGAGTGAGCTCTTTATCCCCATAATTTTCCAGATCTACTTGTAATAGCGCAAGGTTACGAGCATGAGACTTAGACGTGGTTAACACAACCCTACTCCATACATTGGACACTACCGAACACCTGGAACCGTACTGAAAGAACAAAAATGGAGCGCAAATAAATCAATTGATTTATACTAGCTCGTGAAAAAGATATTGAATATTGGATATTGGATATACTCCCTTATCCAGGCTTCCAACCTGCAGTAAACCCAGTAGGGTTACAGGCTGTTTACAGTAAATTAAAATGAAGATAGCATTAGAAACTGTTATTTTCAAATACTTAAACTGGTGATAATGTAGCTGTTGGCAGCGTTATTTAATTTAATTTAATTCTCTGTCATTATAGACAGAGAATTAAAATTCAAATGCTCTATATGATTGGAAAGGTTTCCGAAATTTTTTAGAAGGAAGCCTGATGCCTAGAATTTTTTCTACCACTATATGAAGCTCGCTTAAAGCCGCAACTCGAAGTTGATTCTTTAAAAGAGATATAAATCTCTGAGACCATGTCCAGAGATAAGCAACTAAGTAGATCATAGGGCTGAGAAACAAATCTTACAAAGATAAACTTCAATGGCTTAGAGTATTTCTGCCAAGTTGTTGGAGAATATGAGGTAATATAGTATTGTCAAACAGAGCACGGATTAGGAACTTAAACCGTCTCAATGTCAATAAAAGTGTGATATCTGAGATCTTCGGGGATTTTCCATTGATTTAGTGCGTCATTGCTGCACTGCCGAAAATAGGGATACAGTTGCATTGCTAATCTACATACTAAGTGATTGATAGCATGGGAGTAAACATAATAATAATATAGTTATTCTCAAATAACTACATTACAAGGGTCACGCCAGTTTACAGGCTAGATCAAATTGTCACAAATGCTTTCACAATTACTCTAAAGTTATAGCAATTATATCAAGGATAAGAGTCAGTTTCTGATAGCATATTCACACCATGTCACTGAGAGAAACAGTATAATACAACCCCATTTTCAATAGTAGAGTACAAATAAGGAAGGTGCACAATAGGTTCTTTTGGCGATTAGCCGAGATCAATAGTGAATTTGTTGTGAAAGGTCATATGGAACGCCCTTGATATGAGCTGTGATCCAGACAGTCATGCACATAGGTTGCATGTTCCCTAGAGTTGCCAAGGATTTCCCACCGTGAATGGGGTTCTGAAAAGGAGAAAAGAGATAGAGAAAAAGGCAGCAGTGTGGCGAATGTATATATATAACCAAAGCACTACTTAACCTGTCAGGTTAAATTAGTAAATACAGTAGTAAGTCAAGATAAAATCCAGGTGTACAGTTAGTGTTCTAATGAGAAAAAGTCTTAGTAAACATAACTTTGTTTTATCCAGAAACGTATATGCTGAGTCATTCTTCGTCTTTGAACAAGAATATTTTCTGTTCTGCTCCTCGCCCCGTTCTCTTTTTCTCTCTTTTCAGAACCTTATTGCAATACTTACGTATTAGACTGGATATTTGCCGAAGACTTGGTTACTTTACCCAAGGGCCTGTTAATTTACTAACCAGCTCTTGGCACATTTACCTCATCAATTCTTGTTATATGCAGAAATGGCTCTACTTTGCATTGTTTCATGGTTATTAAGAAGCTCGCCGTAACGCACCCGCCGTAACTCGCTTCAGTTATTCGCGTTGTACATTGTAGACAATCTAAATGGAACCAGTGTATCTTATGAAATATTTCAGTGACTGTACACCACTTTAAAAGAAATATGTTTTTGAGCTTAAAATTTTGATCTTGCCTGTAAATTGGCATGCCTCTTGTAACATGTTTGTTATTTGAGAATAAATTATTATTATTATTAAACTCCCCCAAAATAAGTAGTTTTGTAAGTCTTCCTTTTACTCGACACACCTTGGCTGAATGCACTCGGTCACTCATCCTGACCAGATCACCGCGGAGTGCACCGTGCAGCGCAACTCCTCGCATCAAGTAGCAAGCTCAGCCCACATACTCTTTGACATTTTAACCATCGTGCTAACATACCTTTGATTCTCTTCATTACTGACCTCCGGTTTGACCTAGTTATGAGTATTTTGCACATTGAAGTTGTTACGGACTAACTCTTTGTCCAATCAGATGTTAGATCCGATTTAGAAGACTACCATTCATTCGACTTCCATTATTGCGTACCTGTCGTATAATTAGAAACTCCTTAAATTGAGCCTATTTCTAATCAAAAACATAGTGACAGACGTTTCGATGTTTCTCTGTAGTTCCTGCTGGACTTGCCACCACAAATAAAGTTAACTCAATGGGCACGGATTCCTTGGATGAGAACTACATATACATTTGATTTCATTTAATGGTGTAGGGAGGATTTATTTGAACAGCAAAAACATAGCACAATAAACAGGGTAATTAATTTTAGTTCACAACTCATACGAATGAGCAACGGATATTTAATATGATTGCGATTACACAGAAACGCAACGTAGAGACAAGAGATGTGGTTTTCACTTTTTGGTCACGAAAGTAAATAAATATTGTGGTGTACGTGGGCTCACCAGTTCTTTGGCGGTCGGTATTCGATATTCTCCTAAATATCATAAACTGTTCATCCGAAAAACCGGCACTAGGTAACGCTCAAAGGCGTATGAATCAGAAGATGAGTATGAAGCGTTGAAGACGTTTATTATCACACCACACAGATCACAAAAGTACGGGCATACGACACGAAAATGAAAATATCGTGAGGGTGACGAAGATCAAGCCGGCAAACGAGCTATTGAGTAGGATTAAAATGTACATATATATATAAGTCATTGGATTATTTAAGCGGTCAATATAAAGCATAGGCCACCGACCAGTGTTCTCTAACTACTCTGTCCTGGGCTTCCATTTCCAATTCTATCCAATATTTATTCACTCTTCATATACGTTTCGCTATTTCTTGGCGTATTGTGTTTCTTGGCCTTCCTCTTTTCATTTTACCCTGGCGGTTCCAAGTGAGGGCTTGCCCTGTGACGCAGTTAGGTGCTGTACGCTATGTGTGACCCACCCACTTCCATCTTTTATTCCTGATTGCCCCACCCGTTGGAATCTGGTTTGTTCTTTCCCACAGTAGATTGTTGCCGATGCTGTCTGTCCAACGAATCCGAAGTATTTTGCGTAGACAACTGTTAATACACACTTGGATGATGGCTTTGGTAGTTCTCCAAGTTTCCGCTCCATACAGTAGAACTCTGTTGAAATTTGTATTGAAAATCCTGATTTCGGTTTTGGTTGAAAGTTGTTTCGAGTTCCGGATATTTTTAACTGTAGAAATGCAACCCTTGCTTTGCCGATCCGCGCCCTCACACCTGCACCGGATCTACCTTTCTCGTGGATGACGCTGCCAAGGTGTAAAGGTGTCAACGTCCTCCAAGGCATCTCCATCAAGAGTGATTTGTTTGGTGCATGTTGTGTCGCGTCGGAGAATTTTGCTTTTCCCTTTATGTATGTTGAGACCTGCTGCTATAGAGACTGCTGCTATACTGGTCGTCTTCTCTTGCATTTGTTTTTGCGTGTGCGACAGAAGAGCCAGGTCATCTGCGAAGTCCAGATCGTCCAGCTGCGTATTAACTATCCAGCTGATGCCATGCCTCCCTCCAGATGTCAACGTCTTCATAATCCAGTCGATGACCAGGAGAGAGAGAAAGGGTGAGAGTAAGCAACCTTGCGTGACACCGGTCATCACCTCGAACGAGTCTATTAGCTGTCCTTTATGCACGACTTAGCAGTTGAATCCATCATAAGAATTCCGTACGATGCTAACTATTTTCTCAGGCACACCGTAGTGTCGAAGAAGCCTCCTCAGTGTTTTCCTACCCACTCTATCGAATGGTTTCTCGTAGTCGATGAAGTTGATGTAGAGTGGTGAGTTCCATTCTATTGATTGTTCCACAATGAACCGCAATGTAGCAATTTTGTCAGTACACAACCAATCCTTACGAAATCCAGCCTGTTGATATCTAATTTGGGCATCTAAGAAGTCCTCTATTCTGTTTAGCAACACCTTGTTGAAGACTTTGCCTGGTATTGAGATAAGCGTGATGCCTCTGTAGTTCTCAAACTTGCTGGGATCGCTTTTCTTTGGTATTTTGATCAGGCACTCTTCTTCAATAAATATCAAAATAGACTCATTACTCCGGCTGATTATCGAAGTTCCATCTGCAGACGTATGGAAGAGGCAGCTGTAATAACTGTGTCCTGTCATTTACACGTTGAGACTGAAACTGAGACCATCTCCCTACTTCATGAAACAGGTCTTTTCTTTTAACATTCGATTTCGCTCATTATTTATCACAGTGCATATTCGTATGTGATCTGACATATATAACTGCTCAGAAATAATAGACCCTTACTGCGTCCTGCCTGAAATTCGATTGATGTTGGTATCTGAAACCATAATGCATTAAGACTAACACAGATGATCAAATAGAAAAATATCTAACAAAGTATTAAAAAAAAAGAGCCGGTTGATCGGACTACCACCCACTAGAAATTACCAAATATCTGGAGCCGTACTAAAAACAACAAGAATGGAGTAGAAAAATACTAATTACTTTATAAAAGCTCTTCACAAAAATATTGGATTTTGGATAATGTACGAAAAAGATTGGACACTGTCTTTTAATGCTTCACTACTTTAATTAGCTCATACAGTTTACTCTGCAAGGCCGTTGAGAGGGTTGACGATGTATGGGGGTTCTACGCCTGGTAAAGAGGATCACTACGATTATCTATTTAAAGGTAATAAAGGATTGAGAAACCTAACCCAGTTGAAAAGTTGTACTGATCGGAGATTCAGGTGTCGGGAAAAGTAACTTGCTCTCACGTTTTACAAGAGACGAGTTTAATTTGGAAAGTAAGAGTACGATCGGTGTTGAGTTCGCTACAAAGTGAGTCAGTATAAAATGTTTATCATTGCATTTAGGAGTGTAAATATTGAGGGAAAAACCATAAAAACACAGATCTGGGATACCGCCGGTCAGGAACGTTATCGAGCTATAACGGCTGCGTAAGTTTGTGATTTTCATCTACACAGTTCCGTGCTAGTTCTGGGAAACTAGCAAATATAGATCTTTCCTCTTATAATTAATTTTGTATTTATGTTTCGTCTCTTTCATGATTGCGCGAGGAATAAAGTATATTGTGAATATGATTTCGTCACGCCAAGACGCAATGATACACCGATCGCTAAATCTGGTAGTCAACCAAAGTTTGCAAGTCAGTGTGATGTGCCTTGGTGTCTCGATATTATACACCTTTTTTAATGAATTCTAGAATTGAAGTGCATAGAAACTCAAAGGTTTGGGTCATTATATTTCTTTTATTTGACCTAAACGAACAGTAGATCTTTAACCCTAAACTTAGTTCAACGTGAGCAGACAAGTGGATTGTCGTTGTACATGTTTCAATACATAGGTCCCTGGTCTTTTGACTTCATGTTTTACCGACGAAATATTAGGATTTTGCTAACAATGGAATCTAGGACTGGCGCGTCGTCTTATTTTGAAGTAGTCGACTGCATTTCGGCGTTGATGTTAACAATGAAGCTCCAGTCCAATGCCGTTCGCTTCAAATATTAACGCGTTATCCACTGAAGTACTGAGTTCATATACGGATTGGATTAGCTTAAATCATACTACATACTCAAACCAAGACAGTAAGGCGAATAATAAGATGATTGAATTTAGTTGATACTGATGTAAAGAAGCTGCTAAGTCGAATCACTCATATTTATTGGCGGTATCGCCTATTAATGAAAACTTCTAAGCCTAGTTTCAGTAGAGCGTGTAAGTTGACGTGTTCTATAATCTTGAACTGGTTTTATTCATATAGATGCTTGTATTTCAGCTTCTGTTAATCAATCTCTTAAGATTTTCCCGAGTTTCGAAATCTCATTGTCTTACCAAATTATATCTAGTTTTGTATCTTCAAATCCATTTTAGATATTCATGTTTTCTTAGTCGTCTAAAATCTGCGAATTAGTTTCTATGTTCGAAAGTTAATTTAGCTTATATCTGTGTATGGATAGATGCCTAGACTAGTCTCCTGCCTTACTGTATGGATGTAATTGTTCTGGTGCGTTCTTGACCTACTTGAGTAGCTTGGGAACCCGTAAAATGGTAAATGTGGTTTGGTTGAAGCATCTATTCACTTGATCTCAGTTTATGCTGACGGTCGACCTCTACTCAAGTTGGTGGAGTGGATAAGAATAACCGTACAAGTTTCCAAAATGTCTAGTCAGTCAGCTGCAACGCAGAACTTCGTACGTGAGTACATCAGTTCATGTTGCCATACCACATTAGCACAGAGACGCAATTGTCAATTCAAATCCCATAGTGGTAGAGATAGTAGAAGTACTACTGGTAATGGAGAAGATTAGGGTTCCAAGATATTAGTTAAGAAGTATTATTAAGTGAGATAAGTTTAGAAAGACAATGGTAAAGGTGTTGACAAATCCAGAAGATTAGGATTTGGGAGAACACAGAAAGTGGATGCACCTGCGCCATTGCAGACGATTTTGAGCCATCTCATTCAAGGTCTCTAACCATCGGTTACTTTCGTCTCGCGGACCTCAACCAGGTAGTCGACACCTACCGACATGACTCAGTCCAGTCACTTGTCATTGACTTTATGGGTTTGCTCCGTGTTTTGGTCTGGCCGCCCTAGCTTTCTTCCAACCTGCTCCTACACTACGAAACAGCTCGTCGAGGCAGTTGGTGGTCGGGCATTCATCACACATGTCCCAACCACCTCAACTGATGGTTTCACTACTTCAACTATTGATTTGCCGTGCCTACCTAGAACTCGTTTCCTAACGACAGCATTGCTTATACGGTTGTCCAGTGGTGTTCAAGTAGAGAGCTTGTATAATGTCTAGTATAAGTAAACAACTCGAAACAACTTAATCTGGTTTAGTAACTGAACTCAGTTTTCTGATATTCTAGTCTTAATTTTTTGTGAGAACCGCTAATATTACACAAAACGTAGTGGTTGAAGCAGCGTTCAAACACGGTTTAGTTAATAAACGTTAAGTATTCCAACCAGTAGTTGATATATCAGTGATTAGGCATACTGTAAATGCTGCCGAGGATGCTCGAAATAAACTTAGTTTGTAAAGAAATGTTATGTAGATGTTGTAGCCTTTAAACTACTTTGCCGATAATAGAATCTGAAGCTGGTTTTTACTAAGTTCGCTATTTGTTGCCAACTTCATCTAGTGCTCGCATGGTTCCTTAATTTTGTACAAATGTGTTTAGATTTGGTGGTGAATGAGCAACAGTGTGATTTTTTGATACATCTTCAATTAACCTTGCAAAACTTGACACCAGTAGAAATGAGTTGTTGGCATTACAATGAAAGATCTGGTCTTCATTTTCCTGTGGCGTTCACATCAGTTTATCTGGCCAATTACTTTCATACATGTTATTGAATGGGTAAGTTTACATATTGCAGTATATCTGAAATGTTAGGCTTCATCTTGGTTCACTTTAATTGAAGTTTTTAGAAGAGTAGTGATTTTACCAAGTGTCATTAACTTTTGCCATTTTTTTTCTTGAAGTTATTACCGTGGTGCTGTTGGTGCACTTTTGGTTTACGATATCTCCAAACGGGTGACTTTCGATAATGTAGAACGCTGGTTAAATGAGTTAAAAGGCCATGTGGACAACAACGTCGTTATCATGTTGGTTGGGAATAAGTCTGATCTTAGGCATCTCCGGAATGTACCGACGGAGGACGCGAAGAATTTCGCTGAGCGTAATGGACTTTGTTTAATTGAAACATCAGCCTTGGATTCAACAAACGTTGACAAGGCTTTCAATACTATTCTTCAAAGTTAGTTCAATATTTTGACTCATATGACTGAATATAGAGTGACTAAACTTAGCGAATTAGTTTTTATTGCTATGGTGTTTCTTTGTTTATCGTTTTCATAGAGTCCATAAACTGATTATCACCTGGCTGTAGTTTTTCCAAGCTTTAATGTTTATGTGAGTTTCTTGATTTACGCCGGCCAAATACATTTAGAATAAAATATATCTGTAGAATGATAAAACTTCATCTTAGTTAACACATGAAAGAATAGTGTGAATCTGAATATAAGATAATTTAGTTTTGTTTCTTAGTTGATTTCATGTTGTTATAAGCTTCTTCACTTAGTTTGTAACTGTGAAAGTGAGGGGCGAGTATTCACTTATTGAATTGTGGAGCTGTGGCATAATGGTCAAGGCGTGTTCAACCCTTCTTTGCTATTTGCATCATCTGATATTGTAGGATTTAGGAAAGAAATGATGACGCATATCTTACTTAGAATGCGTTGTACCATTTTACGATCTACGAATTACTTTGCTATTAATCATGTTCTCTCTATTGAGCTACTTTTACTTTTGAATCCAGGTGGGAAAGTTTTAACTTTCCTCTACATGACTGAGATATATGATTTAGCTGTCAGGTTGTGTTTTGGCTATTCTAGCCTAGTGTTTAAACTGCTACATCAGTCAACTCTTGTGGTCATTGGTTTTGGATAAAATGACCACCCATTGAATGTAATCAATGCAGAATTACAACCACATCAACTGGTTTTGCTTCATTGTTTAGAATTGTATACTGAACGTCAACTTTAGTGCAAAGTTGGTGAAAGTGAGGATAATTTATTATTCATCAGGCTTATTTTATCAAACTGTGAACACTCTATAGTATGAGGGTTAGATATTTTCTCTTTTGTGTCGATTTACAGAGCTTCAGACTTTACAGTATTGTAACCTCGTTGAACACATTCACTTTTCATACCGATTATATTTGGACATCGTCTTGAAGCTGACTAGTTAAGCATAGTTAAGTGGAAACGAGGGTGGTAAGTGGTTGCAGACGTTTTAAAGAAAACCCCTACTTGTACTAGTTAACACTTGTCACTGATTCGTACGTGATGCATACCGGTGGATTAAAACTCTCTCACCTTACCCGACGTGACTGTGTGAGACTGAATTGTTGACAGTCGATTGATCAGTGATTAAAAATAGTGACCACTATCATGTTTGTCTAGTCATTTATTGCTGTTGATCACATTATACCAATTAAGCGTTCAGTAGTAGTTTTTCAATACGCACACATGATTTCTTAGAGCTAATAGCTATTATCATGCATCATTAAAATGTGTCTACTTTTCAAGATCTGTTATATTGACAGATATTTTACTAAATTTAACATGCAGTTATGAAATATCTGATTTGTTGCCTTACTCGTCTATTTATCATTTACATTATATCTATACATGTATATATTATCTAGCTATTTATACGATTGTCAGCTCAAATCCTTCAGTGAGTAATGTCGATATGAAAATGTCTCCATATAATAATCAACCGATCGTTTCACCGAACGCGGAGAATTCAAACACTGGACGACGGTGTTGTAGTTGATGAAACTAAGCAAATGATCAAGCTCAAATTTGTTTCCGTTTTTTATTATGAAAAGAATTGAACAATTATTTTTCTGCAAATTGTTATTGTCAATATTATTGATTGATCGTTATCAGTAACTGAACAAAAAAACTCAATGATGAAATGTGTTTATGATGTGATTGTAACTATGAATGGTCGCTGTTGTCTTTCTTATTTTGGACCTTAACAATTACTGAATCAGTTGTCACTGGTCCTACTTATCGATTTTGTACTGATTTTTTTTGGTTTTGTTCACTTTTCGCTTGTCTGCCTCCATGTGTGTGTGTGTGTGAGAGCGAGAGAGAGAATGAAGAAGTAGAAACGAGTGGTGTACTCTTAGCATCAGTGGTGTTTCAGTTACTCCCTGTTTTATTCATTTACACAAACATCTGATAGATGATGAGTCAAAGCGATCGATGACAATGAAGTAAGTAGCGTTAATTAGCCCGAAATTGGAGGCGGCCATAGCGACATTAAAATCATCATTGCAAACACTTGTATGATTGTTGACTCGATTTGTTATTTTTGTGCATGTACACCCTTGTGTGTTTTTTTCAGTTTGTTTGACTTAGTTGAAATCTTTCAATTGACCTGTATAATATCTACCGATAATAATAATAATAATCGTAACGCATACGCACATACTCATTTTCATAGCACTATTCTTCCCTTTATTCATTAATTGTCTATGAGCATCGTTTTTTTTTAAAAAAAGGAAGCATAAATTATCGTTTGTTTTTTTGTCGGTGCCGATTAAGTTGTTTTGTGTGACTTTGTGGACTGTGTTTCTTCGCACTGTGGATTTCATTTTATATTGATTGTGTATTATTTGTGAACTGGACTAACACTAATAAGTTGTAATATAAATAATTTGAGAATGAACTTGATTTTCAGTTAGAAGTCGATTTTTCAGGTTTTAATCTTCCTCTTTTTTTAAAAAACAAACACATTTGTATTGTATGTATTATGACCTAAACTGTGTTTCTTAACCAAACAACAGCCTTTTTCTTCTTATCATCAATATAAATTAATTCTTAAGTCGAAAATCGGTGTGTTTTGACACTCCTAGTCTAGTTCTGTCAAGCTAGATAGTATGTAAGTTTAGTGATTGACTGATCGATAAATCGTTTGGAAGTGCGATGTTACTAAATGTGCTGAGAAGGAATCTTTCGGTTTTGTATCAAGCATAAATTCACTTTTGGTGTCGTTAGCTCATAATTCACGTAGAGGTGAGCTGGTTACATGGTCGATAAGGGTTGAATTAGTGTATCCTGGTCTTGCCGATTCTGTTGTGTGTGTTGCTCGGTCGATCTCTAGCCATGCGATTGACTGAGGTTTCCCGTATGGGTCGGTGAATAGGACCTGTTTCCCATAGATGCTAATTACGAGTTGGGTCGGACGTTAAACTTCCAGGAAGATTTTGGCATCCTTCGAATCTCCTCGTTTCAGGATTGTGAGTCTCCTAGTTGAATTTGTGTTCAAGGTAGCCAACATGCTCTTACATGAGTGACAACACGTCCGGTCGTTCCCTGTGTATGAGTAAATGGCGTGAAGTTATCAACAGATCGGTCTACTATCTTCTAACTTCTAGAAACTTGGTGAGCTTCTCACAGGATTGACCTCTTCTTGTTCATGCGTCACATGTCATTTGGAATTATCCGTTCTGCATGTACAAGATGGACATCTACTGCACAACTGTACTGTTATATTTCATCATCGTTTCACACGGTCGATTAAATTCGTCGTAAGGAATGTGGTTCTTGAGTAACTTGTTGTTGTTGGTTTCTGCCTGACCGAAAATATTTTTTGCAACTTAGTTCTCGATACTCCGCTTTCAGCGACATCAGTGGAATAGTGCAGTTCAACGTGAGTCTCAATGGTGTGTGTTAATCGTTTGATGATCTGACAGTGCATGTTGACCTCAGTATTACAACCAAGATTTAAGGAAGTGTTGTCTTTCTTAATGGTCACTCACTTTGTGCTGTAGTGAAAGCAAATATGATTGGCCACTGAGCATAGACAAAAAGGGTGTGAGCTTACTGACCATCAAGTATGTGATTTGCTTCTCTGTTTTTGGTTTCTACTCTGAACTCGTTGACAGTGACTGCTTGTAATTGTGTCGAATGAAGTATTGTGTTGTGTTTACTGTGATTCTGTTCGTTGCTTGTGAGTCGTGTATCAAACAAAATGTGATACTCTCACCTGTAGTTTTCTAGAGAATGCGTTCCATATTTACAAGCACAAAGACCCACTGAATCTGGTCAATCGAAAATTCAACAATGATATTATGACTTAATAAAAGTGGAAACACTTTTTGATTATTCAAATGATAGGCTTATGTGAGACATTGAATATTCAAATGCCAGGAACCCCAGTTTACAAGCTTGGGATCGGTTGAATGTAATCTAACAAATATTCTTTCAAGTTAACTCTTTATCAGTGTATCGTTAGATATAAGTTTTAGTGTGTTAATATGTATCGTTATGTACTTAATAATTGTTTATATATCGTACTTTCCACTGACGAGTTATATATTTTCTCAGTTTTACAACCAGTCACCTCCATTATGGAATATTTGTATGCATTAATCACTTGTGAAGCAGTCTTGAAGTGGTTTGAGTTTATGCAGAGTTTTATCGAATTTAATTGTGTTATCATTAGAAGCTATACACCTAAGTAGTTTCATTCATATCAGGATGTTTTGTTCGAGCAAGGCAAAGTTGAACACCTCATTAGATTTGCTGCAGAAAAACACACGAATTGTTTTTTTTTCCACTCATCTCTTGTCTTCTTTTATCATTCTGTTTAGTTGAATTTGTCATGCATAAAAGTGTATATTAACAATTGAATCGGACGACAGCACAAGTAATATACTACAATTCATTACACAGTTTTGAATCAATCATATATTTGATTGATAATTACAATTCACTCTCATCATTATTGACTTTTAGTTGGAACGGCGAATTTATTACACTCAGCTGAATCATTTAAACATCAATAATTGTCATGTGGTTTTCTTCTCTCAAGAATATTTTCTGTTCTGTTTTTGAAAAATCTACTTGTTATTGTGTGGTTCGTGTCAATCAATATATGTACATGTATATATTAGAAAGAAGCGTATACGATCATGATGGGTGGAATATAGATAGATCATTGTTATTTTGTCTGTAATCAGCTCATCATCAATTCATCGTTGTGATCGATTCATCGATCGATCAGATAGATAATAATCAGTAGTGGTAGTATGATACCTTAGAAAAATAGATTGAACTAGTTGATTATTTATTCTGTAATTGACGCTTAATACTACTATTACTATCACTACTGCCATCAAGGTCATATCGTTTGCTTTCTATTATTATTATTATCCAAACGGATAATTGTAGCACACACACATTATAGCTTACTATTCATGATTGCTCATACTAATAATAATGATAAACACGACAGTGGTAGTCTTTTGTGTACTCATGTCAACGACAGCGTAATGTGATTGTGCATATGTATAGAAATGTAGTTCATTGTTGAACACGATCATTTCTAATGTTTGAATGATGCATAGAAATTTTTAGTCAGAATACAATTTTAATGTACCGATTGACTTAATTTCAATAAATAAGATGAATTATTTGAGGACAGAATGAATTGAAGAGTAATTTTATTTATTTAGTTTAGATAATTTAAGATAAAAATGTTTCTAAAATGTCAATGATGGAATTTACATTTGTATGCAAGTTTAGCAGGTCTGTGTTTATGTGTGTGTGTGTGTGTGTAATGTGATACGATAATTGAAAACTTACTCAATGAAATCATGAATCGATGGATGTTAGATAAGCACCATTAGCAACCAGGAAGAACAGAAAGACGACCGTTTCCTCCTGGTATGGGACTCATCAGTGACAGTGTACATCCACGACTCCTTGCACCTTGCATGATTTGCGAACGCCCGAACTATAACATTGATCGATTCATGATTTCAATGAGTGATTGAACAATCATCACAACCCCATAATGCAATTTAAAAGTTACTGACAATATGATAAACATTCTCATCATCATCATGGGACTATTATTTATTCTCAATCCAGGAGACAGGATCGATGGGCAGAACACTTTAGGGATCAGTTCAACTGGCCTCGAGCTACCCTTCGGACATCAGTTCAGGTTGCCATGCCACATCAGCGCAGGGACGCAACTGTCAGTTCAAATCCAAGAGTGATAGCAATAATAGAAGTATTAGCAGTAATGGAGAAGATTAAGGAGCGAGGATATGATTCGAGAAGTATAATTCAGTAAGATAAATTTAGAAGGAGAAAGAAAGAGATTATGAGGAATGCAGAAGCTTAGAATTTCATAGAACACAAAGAGTGGATGCACCCGCGCCATTGCAAACCATTCTGAGCCATGTCGTTCAAGGTCTCTAACCATCGGTGACTATCGTCTCGCGGACCCCAACCAGATAGCCTACATCTACCAACATGACTCAGTCCAGTCACTTGTCAGTGACTTCATGCATTTCTGCCATGTTTTGGTTTGGCCGCCCCTAGCTTTCTTTCAGTCTACGCCTACACTGCAAAACATAGCTCGACGAGGCAGTCGGTGGTTAGGCATACGTAACACATGTTCCAACCACCTCAACTGATGAAGTTTGACTACTTCAACTATTGACTTGCCATCCCTACCTAGAACTCATTTCCTAACGCCAGCATTGCTTATACGGTTGTCCCAGGATACACGAGCAATGCTTCGGAGACATCGATGATCGAAGACTAGTAACCTACCAATTTCCTCTACTCTTAACGGCCAAGTCACAAATCCATGAAGTCACTGACAAGTAGACTGATTCATATTGGTTGATTTAGACTACTTGGCTGGGGTCCACGAGATGATAGTAATCGATGGTTAGAGACCTTGAATGACATGAATCAAAACTGTATGCATCGGCGCAGGTGCGTCCATTCATTGTGTTTTCTCAA